TTATAGTATATATATTTATATCTCTCTATCTCTATCTCTATCTCTATCTATCTATAGTTCTGCACTTAAAGAATAATATATATGTGTGTGTATATTTATTTATATATATAGTTCTGCACTTAAAGAATAATGTGTGTGTGTGTGTGTGTGTGTGTGTGTGTATATATAGTTCTGCACTTAAAGGTGTGTGGCTGGCTGGCTGGCTGGCTCCTAAAGAATAATATTTTTTAACCCTAACAGCTTTAGAACTGCCTTATTTTTCTAGAAGTGCAGTATTTGGGTTTCCAAGACCGATACTTTGAATTGGCATAATGTTATTTTGGCAATGTACTTGAAATGGAGCTTGGAGGACCGCAGTGCTTCCACATTAAAAATGTATTTTTTGTCATTGGCTAAATTTGTAGTATTGGTGTCTACATGCAGGGCTCTTTTGTACAACACGAAACTATTGATTTAGACCAGCAGAGGGCAGCTTCACACAACTAAACTGTGTTATGGTTTATTTTGTATTTAAAGGGGACAAGCCAATTGTAACTTCTATGTGAGAATTTATAGCTGTTATGCTTTTTGCAGGAAAAAGAACAATTTATCATTTCACAACTGAAAGCAGAAGGCTTGACTCCTCGTGATGAAGAAGGTAAGGATGCAGTTATCAACATGTAAATCTCAGTGTAAAAACATCCTGCATGCTTTTGCATAGAGATAACCTTCAGTCTGACAGACTGTAGTTGAGGTGACGTCGGTACCTTCTCCTGTGAGCAGTGTTTCATGAGGATTTTACGATGTCGCAGAGAAATTTGGGTCTTTTTCACCCAGGAAGCTTCAGGCTTCAGCCGACAATCCAAAGCTTCCTGGTTTTGCAAGAGCCAACAAATAAAACTGATGCTGAAGTCTGCAGTATTTGTTTTGATCTCCTTTTCTCTGTACAGCTCCCTTTTCACCTTTTTTATATCTCCATTCTTCTTCACTTGTGTCCGTCTTCTCTCCATACTACTCGTCTCATTTACTACTCATGTCCTTCCTTGCTCACTTTCTGTTATCCTCTTTTCATCATCTCACTTTTCTCTCCTTCCTCTAAATCTCCTTTCCTTACTCCTCATTTCCTTCCCTCTGTCCACCATTTTCCTCTTATTCCCTTTTCTATTTTTTTCCCTGTCTCCTTTCCCCATCCCATTTTCTCTTCATCAATCTTCTTTCCATAAATCTGTGTCTTCTTAATCTCCTTCCATCTGTCCTTAGTTGCTTCCTCCCTTACTCTGTTAATTGCTTTCTCACCTTTACCTCCTTCTTGTCTCCTCCCTATTTCTCCCCCAACTCCCCTCTGTGTTTCTTGATAATTAAAAGCACATTGAACAATGAGTATTTATGTAACATCTGGTGCTTTCTTTTATAAATGCATTGCATCTTACAAAGAATATAACCTTCTCCTCGGTCTCCTCCCCCCCTCAGGTCGGCGGCGCTCCCTGGACAGTGAAGTGATGGCCGTGTTTTACAAAGGCTTCTTGGACACAAACAGAGTACGACATTCGAGTTATAACAAGTGAGTTGTTTTGCAGCTGTGTATCTCCCATGGTGCCGCTGGGTGGGCGGGTAAAAAGGAGCTGTGGGCTTTAAAGACATTTATATAGTTATATTCTGTACTGTGTGTGTGTGTGTGTGTGTGTGTGTGTGTGTGTGTGTGTGTGTGTGTGTGTGTGTGTGTGTGTGTGTGTGTGTGTGTGTGTGTGTGTGTGTGTGTGTGTGTGTGTGTGTGTGTGTGTGTGTGTGTGTGTGTGTGTGTGTGTGTAGCACAACAAACATTGCAGGCTTTGAAGAGTGTGTGTGTGTGAATTAGCATTGCAAAGTGGCTGCCTTGTTTAAAGTTTGTTGCATTCTCCATAAATATGTTTTCTGCCCACACATCACCTCTGCTGCTGCACTTATTTTTCTTCTGTGTGGGCTTATTTCTTTGATTTAAACCACCTGACACAAACATTTACATTTCTTCCCTCTGGTATTATTGCACCCTTCGCTCAGTCTACTTAAAAGCTTTATCCAAATGTAATTTCAGTAAAATAAACCTTTATTTTATTGTACAGACACTAGATAATTTGAAGTCTTACTCTATCACTGAATTTACATTGAAAGCTTCCCCCCCTCGTTGTTTACAGTGAATGGTACCGACGTAACTTCACCATCACCATGCTCATGGCCCGCGTCGCTCTGAGGAACATCTGGAGGACTGTTACTAAAAGAAACAACAAGAATAACAGCACATCTACCACCTGATACACAAATAAAATATCTACCCACCCTCCTATCTTTGTTCTTACTGCATTTTTTTTTTTCTTCTGTACTGCTTCTTCATATTTGCTTCAAATTTCATGAGATATTCCTTTATTGGTTCCACAACAGGGAAATTTGCAGTGTTGCAGCACCAAATGGAAAGTGTAATGAGTAAATGGTAAAGAATTGCCAAAAAATGGTTGCTCTTGATATAAAATATATTTAGCTTGCATGATTAAGCTACCCCTCAATTACCATGGCTTAGTTCCATCTCTTTTTCATTGTAATATTGTGAAACATCATTTTCAAATATCAAAACCTTTTTCCCAAAATGCCTTCAATTAATATTTTTACAATAAATCGATAACAAAGGAAAGAAGATTAATTAAATAATACTATTGTTTAACAACATGTATTCTGAATGTATAACATGTTATACTAAATTGCTTTTCAGTGTGAGTCAAAGACATACAAATGTTTCACATTCTGAAATGTTAACCATTGACAAAAGTATTATCAGTTTATTCAAATCCCACTAAAAAGAGCAATTTAAGAACCCCCTATTGAATATGTAATAGTGCAGAGGAATGGTTTTGGAAAACTTCGAAGAGGAATATTAAAAATGTTAACAGTTGTGGACAGACGGTCATAACATTTGATACAAATGTATGATTTGTAGATTTATTCCATTGATACAAAATATAAATCGACATGAGTTGTTTAAATTAGCTTCGCCTTTACCAGTTGTAATATTAAAATGATGAAAACTTTACTGCACCAATAATTATAATACAATTACATAATTTAAGTTATATTATTGGGAAATACGACTTTCTGCATTATGTGCGGAGGTCGAAGAAGTACTCGGATCTTGTACTTAAAAAAGTAGAACTAACAGTGTAGGAATACTGTAACAAGTAAAAGTCCTGCATTCAAAATTGTACTAAATAAAAAGTACAAATGTTAGCATCATTATACTACTAAACTAATGATATCAAAAGTAAAATAACTCATGCAAATTGGTTAATATATAATATATTCTAATCATCTAGTCATTGAGTAGCAATACTTGAATTACTCACGTAAAGTACAAATCACTCAAAGTTGTACTCTCTCAAGTTTGAGGGACTTGGAAATTAGTTATTTTATACCACTGATAATTAGTATTTTTAGAATAAATCAAAGCCTATAGTTTTGTTAAGATTTTTACTTTCACTCGTATTTCTTCACTTTGGTACCGCTTCCTCTACCACCAGTATTTATTGGTTTACTAAAGTATATTGCTTTTAATAAATCTGGCAGCTGAGTTCGCACCACAGCTTCCCCTTTAATCCTGGCAGCAGGGATGACATCATTAGTAACCGAGGAAAGTGAGGGGGGCGCCGGGTAACGCCATTTTCACGCACCGCGCAGTCAGTCAGTCATCCAGCCAGTGGACCAGCGAGCTGTCAGCTTCACCGGCGACTCGTCAACTTTTAATTCAACCCCATGAAGTCGCCATCAAGTTAGTTTTACGGACTGCCATGGAATTTAAGGACAACATGGTTTTCTGTATTTATGGCTCCGACTAAAGCCAGTGTTTTGACAGTTAGCCGGTTAGCTATGTAGCTAGCTGGTCATTATATATTAACGGAGGTTGATGCAGTGAAACCCAGAGGAACATATCCCATTCGAAGACACTTTGGATATTGTGTTTTAAAAGTGACATACTCTATTTATCGGCTAGAGTTGTACCTTTAAAGCAACACCAGTTTCATTTAAAAAAGACGTGATTTGGACGTCAAAAAGGAGAGATAAATTGACGTTACATTGAAGCTACTTTGGAAACGGATGTCCCAGAGAACGGTAAGAATGGCTCCGTGTATTTCTTGGAACGGTCATAAACTAATTAACCACTTTCACTGAAATGTTCATATCATTTTGAGGTGTCATCTTGTGAAACAACAATACTATGAATTATTATATATTTTAATAGGTTTTAGAGATGGTTTTTCCTTTCATTTGTGGTCCGTGTTTACGTTCATTGCAGGAATTAGACGCTATAAGCACATTAACTGTCACTGAGTGCTAACCCAGGGTTAGCCCTGCAGTGCTTGTGTGACAGGGAGGTATTTTTGCTAACTGGTTCTTCAGGTTAATCCATTTGCTAGTGAAATATCTGGGGACAAAAGCAGCAGGAACAACAGGGGCATTGACTGAAAACATGCCTGGGAAGGATGCACTGGTTGGGCCACTGCAGCAACCCAAAAAGTCTTGATGTTTATCATGTGATAGTTATGTTGGATGTCCCTTTCATTGATATTCAAAGCGGGGTTGATGGCTCTGAAAGCTGCCTGTGTTGAGGAGAAGACAGGGACACTGGATCTCAGTGTGGGAATCACAGCTGGGAAACACTGAAAGGTGTTTTATGAATATCTGAGATTTAAGTCACAATGTGGGCTATATGAACTATTATTGGGCTACACAACCTTGGCAATTATTCATGTGTGCAATACTCTGCAATAACTATTCAATTGTGCAATATTCTACATAAATTATTAAACTGCAGTACTTTCATCACTGTTTTGCACTGTGCACTTTGAGCAAAAATCTGTTTAAGCAGTAACATTATTTTATAATATTAATGCACTACTGAATATGATTTAACATATTTTGTAGTACAGTGTGCACATGTTTACTCTTATTTTTGGTTTATTCAAGAGTATATGAAAATGGAGCAACTGTCACAAAATCCATTTTCACCTCAGATTTCTAAAGTATTCTGATGATAGAAATCTGAGGAGTACATATAAGGTTTTCTTTCTGAGTGTGTGAACCCTGCCCTGCAGTCATTAATATATAATCCATCCACAAAGGAGTAACTCTTGACAACCTGTAGCAGGGCTCCTCCTGCAGGATACCACCCCTCCACTCTCCTGGGACAGCTTGTTGTGTGGCTGAATCCCAGAAGGTTTTGTGTGTGTTGTTGGTTGAAAATGATAATCAAGTGTGGTCGCTGCAGATTTTCTTGTAATGCTGCAGGTCGGCTTGAGAAGCATAGAGCTCTTCTGCAGTTGCAGCATTTAAAGCAGCATAACATTTTAAGGTAATTGCTGCTAAAACATTGCAGATGCAGTACCTTTTTTATTTTACTGTTGTGTACTTTTACACATTGCACTTGCAGACTTAGTACTGGAATTTAATTCCAACCAGTACTGTTTTGTATATGATTTTTTTTTTATTGTAACATATTTTTTACAAGGGTTCTTTCACGTTGTGTCTGTAATGAGGAGACATGGTCTTACAGTAAGTACCAGGCTTCTATTGGCATTTCTGTACTGTTATTTCTTTTAACTTATTGGCCTGTACAGATATATAAATCTGCCGTAACCGAATGTCAGCCGATCTATACTAGTCTGGCTGATTTATGGCTTCGGATTCAATTAGATTTAACATAAAGGCAAAGGGTTTTAAACCTACATCATGCAGACATTAGAAAGAAAATGCTTTGCCTCGAAATTGTTTTTTTCTTCTTCGAGCTTGTGTCTTTGCAGCAGAAATACTTATTAAGAAAATACACTTAGTTGCCAGTCTATTCGGAACAACTAGCTCAAACGTATGGTCTCTTAAACAACAGTCCGGCAGTAAATACTTTTTTAAAGGTTATAATGTTTGGTTTGTTCAGTTTTTAATGAACTGTTTTGAAAATGTGTTGATCAAACTTTGCGGTCACTTTGAAGGCTGCAGTTTCTGCTTTTGTCACAATTAATCAATCTATTGTCAGAAAATTCATCAGTACTATTGTGATATTTGATAAATTGTCTTAAATGTTCCAGTTTCAGATCCTCTCATCAGATGACTGACTTATTTCAGAGTTTTAACACATCTCTTTTGATTAATCAAGAACATATTCTTCATCAATGATGAAACAAATGAACATCCAGCTCTTTCATAATGGCTCTGATGTAATCTGAATGATGAGAAATGAGGCTCTCAGCTTTGATGAATGTCTGGTGAAGAGTCACAGAAATGAATTACCTAATGAGAAAATAAGATAAGACTTTTATTGATTCTTCAAGGGGAAACTTAGATTAGAAGGCACTCCTTTTGGTAACACAGTCCTAAAGACTGAAATGTAATCTCTGCTTAGGCAAACCAGATATCAGAAATACATTCAGTATATTATCTCTGTAGATTTCAGGCTTGGAAGTGCTGCAGCGATGAGCTACTATGTCTCTGTACATCAGAGCATCTTCAACTACTTCACTGAACAATGATACATTAGTCTCTCGCCCAAAGCCCAAAACAGTCATTGATGCTCTTCATCTCAAGTGAGGGGTTTACCAGAAGTGAGCCTGCGACTCCTTTTTAAGAGATGACCCATAGTTCAAGATGATTTCATCAGGCAGTTATGTTCCTCTGTTGGATACATTTGAATCAGATGTTTTCACACTTTTAATTGTGTTGCCTGTAGGACCTCCTGAGACACCGAACATCAGTTCATTATTGATATGAATACTTGTAGTTTGCTCTGCTTCAGCCCTGCAGTGTCATGTCTCCGCTGCCTGATTTGTTAACCCCTTTCTGGGTGTCTGAAGTTAATGTGTCGTCACATGATACACTTGTAAAGGCTTCATAGTTGAGTTAAACTGAGGGAGAAGTGACATTGAGAACGGCCTCATATGAAATCTGTAGTACAAAAGCAACAGCACAAGATGTATGTGAGCAACTTTGATCAACTTGAAGAGGCTTTCATCAAAGTATCACTTGACTACTGCTTCTTGTATTTGCAGATGTTATAGTGTCTGTCAGCTTGTGGTTTTTGTTTTTAAGGACACCATCATTACTGTTTGGTCTTCACTCTCACAGCTCTCATCAGGGCTTTTGTCAGCAAAAAAAGTGCTGATGAACCCATTTAACACCACTGGGCTTAAACTAAAAAGTAAACAGACACAGCTGGAAAGTAGCTAGTTAAGAAAGTGGATTAAATAGCAGTGAACTAGAAAACACACCCTTAAAGGAAAGTGAGTACTGGACTTGAATTAGTTAAGTGGATAAAAACACGTCTCTGAATGAATCCTGATGAGGCTCCAGGAAAATTGGGAACTTTTTATAATTGCAAACAATCACTATATCAAATCAAAAGATCATGACATGTCAGTGTTTGCAGTTTGATTGGGAACCTGAGTGGACAAAACGTTTCTTTAATCACGTTTAAAGTGTCAGTCATTGAGAACGTTGTCTTATAGTTTTGTAAATGTTCTATTAACACATTTGTCTTTAATGCGGTAAACAACATGTTTACCGCATTAAAGACTTTACTTCTGTATGCTGCACTTTTGTTTTCAACTGTGGTAATCACAGCTAGTGTTGTTAACTACCCTGCCACGTTTCTAAAGCTATTTTTACCAAACAAAGACAGTAAAAACCAAATGCAAAACATGTTTTCATTGACGGGATACAGGTAGAACAACTGTTGCATTCTTGAATCATGGATAGAAAGCATGTAAACAAACGCCAATATATGTTATACTCGGAAAGATAGAGAACATTTGACTTTGAGAGGCTCTTTCAGACTCTTCTAGTTCTTTAATGTGGATGTGAATCACAGTTCCTATCTGCCCACACATCGCTGACTAAGAGTATTGCCACGCAGTTCTGCTCTTCCTGCTGCTCCTCAGGCATAAAGCCTAGAGCAAGCACTCGATGTTCCTCTTCTTCCTTGGCCCCAAACACAACCCACCCCTCCTCATTCATACCCTACAATTCTCCCCATCACCATGCTTTAACCTGCTTACTGTACACGAGGAGCTGCAGCGTCCCCGGGCTCTCCCTGTCAAGCCAGCTATCTACATTTCAAAAGTAGTTTCTGTGCCTTCCCCCTGTGGCGCTTTGTGCTCCGAGACTCATCTGATGCCAAAAATAAAAGACTGTTGGGTCGGAGCAGGAAAAAAGAAAAAGCTTGTGCTGTCACTTTCACTTCTGTATTACACAGCCTGCTGGGTTGTTGCAGTTAAGGATAGTTGAGCTTCCTCTGTGTTTATAATGTATAAAACAGTGATTTCTAATTTAATATAGTGCGTGTGCCTTTCAATAATCCAGTCCAATAGGTTTCAAAGTGTAAGAACAACTTTTATTTTGATAGCTACATCTGAAAGAATAGTATTTTCCCCCCCGTTGTGAGCGGTGCAACAATGTCTACTTGTCGGCCATCAGGGAGTTGTAGCTGTATTAATTATAATTGGCATGTTCTCAATGTACTGATAGAGTATTACTAGTGACCCAGCAGACCTTCTGTTCTCTGCAACATCATTGAACACTTGTAATGAATGCTCATTACCGGCCTACATTGTAACGTTTTTGGGTGGTGGCTGTTGAAAATTCAAATCTGACAGATATTGCTGTTGTTATTAGCAGATGATATTGCTTGTTGTATTTCTCATAGATCCCTTGTTAGTTATTTCCTAATGACTTATCAGTAAAGATATCCTCCAAGCTAGTTCGTATGAGAATGTAAAAGGGAGTTTGTCACTGTTTTTGACATTTTATTAATCACATAATGACTGAATCAATAAAACAATCAACAGATTAATACTGAAAATAGTAGTTAGTTGCAGCGTTTATTTGAAACTGATGTTGATTCGGAGCTACAACAGGATAATCACTCTAATCTGTTTGCCTACGATATCACTCAGTCCCTCTGAAAATACATCGGGGCTGATCAGCCGCAGTTTGCTATCTATTTTTCACTGAAAGTCCCCTCACGCTGCTCACCTGGAGCTGCTGTTTTTCCATATTCTCCTGCACACAGTTTCCTGCCCCGCTGTCAGCTGATAGGCTGCAGGCGTGTTGCTGAGTCACATGGAGCGATAGGAGCTAAGGCTCTTCCGAATTCTGCTCGCTCGCTCCTTAAATATTGTTATTCACACTTGAACTGAAATGGTAACCTAAAGCAGTTCAGGACACGTCTATCACCGCAGCTTTTATACTCAGGTTGGGCAAGCTGTTTTTATTATTGCAAAATGAAGGGTAACATTTACGTAAGTCTGCCGCACCAAAGATTACATTTCAGTTCTTTCACACAGCAATGAAACATAACATCTGAGTGTTTCTGTAATTATTCTGTGTGTGTGTGTGTGTGTGTGTGTGTGTGTGTGTGTGTGTGTGTGTGTGTGTGTGTGTGTGTGTGTGTGTAAAGGCACCTGTCTATGTGTAAAGTAGAGGGAGTGTGTGTCATTAGCGTGTGAGTGTGTATGTTAAACATGCATGTAAGTGAGAGGTATGAATGCTGGTATATTGTTATT